TAGGAGTTCTGTTGGGTGTGGGGGTATGAGGATGGGGTGAGAGGGTGTATGGAAGAATGAAGGCAATTGATGAATGAATGCAATGTCAGTGGGGGGGGGGGGGGGGGTTGAGGATGAGTGTAAGTGTGTGTGGGCATGTGAGGGGGCAGGTGAGTTGGGCAGTCAGCTGGAGAAGCCTGGAGAATGAGAGGTGAAGGGACTTATCTGAAGGAGCACGGCCTTTGACCTGGACAGAGGGAGGTGTTTCGCTGATATCCAAACCAGCCTGAAACTGTTGCCTGTTCCCCAGAGCTCAATCCTCCTCCCCCTAAACCGATCCTTTTTTTGCCACCTCCAGTTTACTCAGAGTTTTCAGTTCTAGATCCTAGTACTGGTTTCTTTTCCTTCATTTCATTGTCTCACTTCTCACACTGTTTCTGCTTCAGCCTCCTTTGTTCTCCTTTGTTTGAGCTTCCCCCCTCTTCCAGCTCAGGTGTCTCTGATTTGTAACCCCTCCTCCCTCCTCTTGTGTGTGATGTCACTTCCTACTCACTATCCTGCCCTGCTACAAGCATTGTGCTCTCGCCACTAGTTTTCACAGCCATAGCTGCTGGTGGTGGAGGTGGTGTCAGCACCTACACCTCCCTCTTCCACCTTATGTTTCGACTCTCCATCTCTCAACCCAGATGTCCAGAGTCTTTAAACATATGACCCACAGCGCAGCCATCCAGGTTCGAACAGGTAGGAAATGGAGAGCAGATAAATCTCTGGACGTGGCTGAGGCAGAGGGCACTGGTGGGGTCCATAGCAGCAGGGAGGTCAGGCATAGTCTACTTCCTGACAACCAGGGTCAGAAACGTATAGGGAAAGGTGCGGCAATACCTTATTTTGAAGGAGGTAAGCGCCAGCCGGATGCTAGGGATGCAACAGTAAAAAGCATGGACTAGATGGGAAAGTGCACCGCAATGAAAGATCACCTGGTGTAACATCTGGCAAGCAGATTTCCATCACATAAGGTTCTTGGTCCAAGCTGTGAGACACATTCCTGCCCTCATTGCTCAGGAAGAAGTTCCTTAGAACACCTCCTCAGCAGCTTCCCAAAAGCCGTTGGAGAGGGGGCGCTATTGTTGACACTATGAACAGGTGCTTAAGGCAATCGCTGAGAGTGTATCCACAGCCATTAACAGCACCAAGAGCCATCACAAGCCAAAGACCATTACTTTTCTGAGAGCCAGAGAGAAGCTCCACCTACAACCAGGAGCAAAGTTTGATCTCCTCACCACTGCCAATGACTGGCAACTGGTTGGCCTGGGCAAGCAGTATAAGTTCCCAGCCCAGATAACATCAGTATGTCTGCAATGAGACATGATCATTATTGAGTCCACCAAGCAGCTGATCATGCTGGAACTTACAGTGCCCTGGGAAGAGCATATGGACAAGGCCAACAAGAGAAAGTGTGCCAAGCACTAGAAGCTTGTGAAAGAGGGCAGAAGGTAAGGCTGGAAAACCTGCTGTGAGCCTGTCGAGGGGGAGCTGCCAAGGAATTGCAGGACGCTCACTCTGCTAAGCGTTTATACTGCTGGGCATCTCTGGACAGGCAAAGAGGAGGTCTGCCAGATCAGCCACTGATGGTGCAGAGAAAGCCACTAGGTGGCTGTTGATCAAGAGAGCAGATCCTTGAGTGAATGCGGCTGGGTTGCAAGTCAGGGTTTGATCAATGCCAGCTGGATCATCTGGGCGAGGGTGTCTGATGTTGAAAGCCCCAAAACACCCAGTGACCCCAGGTTAGACATGATGGTATCATTAGCAAACAAAATGGGGAAATGAATATTGCAAAAATAATGACAAATCATTAATACATGTAAGAAAATATAAGGGTCCTAAAATAGATCCTTGTGGTACACCACATAAAATGAGCTACTGAAGTCCAACCATTTGTTATTACATATAAAATTGCTCCCTTTCACTCATACATTTAGTTAAACACTTGTTTCCATAAATCCCTAATCTTTTTGACAGGTCATACAAATTCAAGGTCTTTGTTAAATGTAACTCTGGAGGACTAGGTATACTCATATATAGCTGCCCCTGCAAACTAATTAGCCTAATGAGTTACATTTGACTGCATGTGTAAATATCTGTGAATGATTAGTAATAAACCTGGTTTTGATATTCTTGGAAATGTAGAATAAAACATATTCCAGGGAGAGTCTGTATGTTGTTTATGAGGCCAGATGGTCAAAATTTATGTTCAGAAACTGCACTCACTCTTTTAAGCACTTTACCATTGACTGCAGATGATTGAATGGTCAGATAACATCTGTCATTACACAATGACAGATGATACATTCCTCCCTCTCTCTGAAGAGACCATCTGTAATGTGGTCTTATTATAATAAATATACTAAATGAAATTGTGAATCATCCAAACAGGCTGGATGTTTGCAGATGTCAGAGATATGCTCTGTACAAGTGTCAGAGGATGTGAGGAGTTGGTTAATGTTTGTAGCAGCTGTGGTCAAGAATAGATGAGAAAACCTATATGCATTTGTTTGGATGTCCCAGAGAGAATGCCTGAAAGAAGTCAGCTGAAGATGTACATCCTCAAATTTGTTGATGAATCTTACTGCTCAGTTGACAGAGTAATCACAGATCGCAAACGCCATCAGGTGACCATCCTCAGCAGCCTCAGGGTAACTGAGTGGAACAGTATAACTGCAGAGGGAGAAAAGAAGTGAGAGAAAAAGAGAGAGGGGGATGACCTCATCAGTTTGATGAGCCTGTGCTGAGTTCAAAGTTCACAGCAGACTGACGAACTGGAAAGAAAACAGAACCCAGTCTTTACCTGTGCTGTACCATGATCAAACACAGCAGCAGTGTGTCATCATCTCTCGTTCCCGACTGAGTAAATATCATTCAGTACTGGGCAGCAGCTACAGACAGTGTCCAAAAAAACCTGTAAGTACTGATTCACAAAGCTGATGTTTATGACGGTGCTGCCCTCTGAAACTGTGTATCCATGACCAGTGTGCAGCAAAATTCTGTAACTGGGTGTAAAGAGCTCATGGCCAGTATTTTCAGTCTTGTGAGAAGGATCCCCTCTCTTTAGTTGACCAATCAGAGCTTTAATTTTTTAGTGTACTGCTAAACTATAAATTGGTTATGTTTAAGCAGATAACAAATGAATTTTTAGTTGAATGATAGTATGAAAAGACACTAGTAAATTAGTAAAATTTCAAATGCTTTCCAAAAAGTATTTTGCAGATCCAATTACGACTGAATAATGAAACAACTAATTGCCACATTCAATGAATAAATCTTTTTAAAACATTTTTTGAGTACCATAATTTTAATTTTAATTCACTTCATTGCTTCATGAATAGGTTTATAACAATAAAAGTAACTGATTAAATTAACTCCCCAAAAGTCAATATCTATTCATGTGGTACACTCTGAACCTCATACCCTACACGCTGATCAACAACTTACTGTGTTTAGCACCTTTTATGGCCCCAATTACAGATTTATAAGTGAAACTTCATGCCTCCAATCTTTTCTTTCACTCCTCAAAGCGTTATACATTCCCTTACGAAAGATCCAGTGTTCCTCTGCGCACAGTTCACAACAAAAACACTCCAAAGAGGAAGGCAGCAGTTGTTTTAAACCTAAAAAATTATCAACATGTTTGTTTTAAAAAGCAAGTTCTCTTCTCAAATTGATGACCATCAGTAAAGTCTAGTTAACATGCATCTGGAAAAATGTTTTTAATGCTCCTGGTTTGTTTTAACACCTAAAATTATATGCAAATTGGCTATTAAATTTAAAGTATCTCTCTCAAACATCTGTTTAGTGCAAGGGTCAAAGACTAAAACACAGCAATTTACAACATAAAATGGACTCACGTGCATGTGTCAAAACATGTATTTTATTCATTTATCTTAAAAAATTAAAATAAAGTGCTTTTTATGTACAATATAATAAAAACAACAGTCACAATCTCAATGATACAAAAAATACAGTTCACAATGTTATTTGTACACAACAAATAAAAAAAGAAATCATGCAGGCAAGACCACATTTGTCTAATAGTTATTCAGTCAACTAAGCTTATGGTGTTCAGTATGCTGAGGCAAAGCTGTTGCCGTGTCTCATGGCTGAGCCGATACGGAGGATTTTGAGCTGTGCTTGCATCTTACTGCAGTACTACATCGTGCAGCACAAATGATTGGTTATTACTGTTGTGCTGTTTCTTTGTTGTATGACCGCTGAAAGAAAATCCTGAAAAGATGTCACAATGGATGGCCTACAACTACAACAAGTTATTTTAGGAAAATAGACTGCTGTTAATGTGATATAGTTGGCTACATTCATGTCCAGTACAGTATGTTGCATTACTGAGGAGCCACTCAAAATGAAGCATCAATCACCATGGGATCATTTGCTTTTTAATGAAAAGCATGTCATTAATAAATATGCACGACTTTTACGACACAGTATTTACCCTTTTGGCATTATTGACTATTAAGGTCAAATGGTATTGTAACTTCAGCTTTTCTACATGAGATCAGGAAGTAATATTATTGTTAAATACTGAATTGTTCAGAGAAGTGTTTTCTATGTGCACAGCATCACTTTTGACACAAGCAAAGACAGAATAGTACAAGATTTTGAGCAGCTCCTAGGTAAAGTTAATGGTGGCTTGGGTGAAACTGTAAATCTATAGTTGACCCGTGTTGTGTTGTGGAGTTAAGTGTGCCCATGGAGGGCTACAATCATGCCATTCACCACATTTCTGTTGGTGAAGTCACTGCTGGGTAGTGTACAATGTGGCACATGGGTAAAGGCAGAACTATGTGATGTCTAAAGGCATTCTGTAAATATGTTGTGAGGTTATCCATCAAGCAAATCAAAGTAGGTTGTTCAGCCTCCAGAGACTCTAAATTCTTAGTCTTAGCAGCAACGACGAACAATGCTCTGCACTGAGGCTTTTAGAATCTGATTTATTCTTGTTATTTAATTTTTTTTTTTTTTTTTTTTTAATGTATTTTATTTGAATCTATTGGCACACATCATACTCTGGTTAATTTGAACTTACAAGTAAGCAACCAAAATTAAAGGAACGGTAAGACACTTTGAGAAGTCTGATATTACTCATCTGGCTGGAGCCAGCAGAGCAGTGAGCTTAGCTTAGAATAAAGACTGAAAACAGGAGGAAAAGGCTGGGCTCACTTTTATATCACTTTTTTTTCAGTCTGAACAAAAACCAAAGTGTAAAAACTTGCCATTTTATGGGGTTATGTGCTGGACCATTTCTTGGCTGAGAGCAATGACTGAGTTTCCAAGTTTCAACCTCAAGGTGATAAGACCCCTGGGAGGTAATGTGCAAATTTTGTTAAATTTTGACAGTCAGGCCAGCTGTTCCCCATTTCCAGTCTTTGTGCTAAATTAAAATGCTGCCTGTAGCTTCATTTAACATAGCCATACACAAGAGTGTTATCAATCTTCTCATCTGCCAATAATATGGTGAATAATATGGTGATTAAACCTATTTCCTACAATATAAAAGTACTCCTTTAATTTAGTATGACATGAAAATAAAAACAGATACTATTACTACTTTGGTTTGAGTAGCTGGCTAACTGCTAGCTTATCAAGAGACTGGAAGCAGGGGTAAACAATTAGCCTGGCTATGTCCAGTTGTAATGAAATCTTCCACTCAACACAAAAAATATTGTACCTCGTTTTTGTTTCTACCGTGTACAAAAACTTGATTGTAAAAACGAAGACTCACTGTTTTATCAGGGATTATATGCCAAGTCTATATTTATGCTGAACTAAGATAATATAATAATAATGATATCTCTAACTATTCATTAATTCAGTATGACATGAAAAGCAGATATCTGCTTTGATGTGCTTGATAAAAACCAGTCCAGGTGCTGAACAAACAGCGTGGTGAGAAATGTGCTGCATTCTGTGCAAGAGTTGAGATGTATGCTGAAGTAGGCAGTAAAGCATTACGGGGAAAAAAAAAGTATCAGCAGTGTTCACTCTCTAGTTTCAAGACTATCTCTACAACACATCTTGCACAAGGTCCCTTAAAAACACACAATATTACTCACAGATACTGTATATACACAACAAAAACTAATGAAAAAAGGAAACACTGACCACTGTTGCGCAGTATGCTGTGCAATTACTTTGTCAACTTGTAGCAGTTACATAGCATTTCGTCATCTGCTCAGTGTTCGAAATAGCAAAATGTTGATTCTGTGTGATACTGGAATATATACTGTAAGCATACTTGATCAATACAGTGAACTGGTGATGTATTCTAAGACATGTGGTGCCATATTGTCCCTATGGCCGTGTAAATGTTTCTCATTCAGATTTACACACCACTATCAGCTTCCTACATCTTTGGAAAATTCTGCTTGATAAGTCTCAAAAGTCTAAGCAATGTGGGTGCAAGTGTGTTTGTAATGGCTGCACTGGTCCCTGTAATAACTGACTTCTAAAAATTATTTTCCTTAGCAGCCACTCTTTCTGTCTCTCAGTAGTTGCATTTCTTAAGAGTATGCTCCACTTTTACTGAAATGTGCAAACCTGTAAGTTTTCAACACCCTGATTACTTGTGCTTTCACATTAACAACGTGTTGACATTGGACTGTAGTGGATGCCATGTATGTAAGAAATGTAACCTGCTGGGTGTGGCTTATTTTGAACCAATACAGCGCTCTCTGTGCATTTACATCATTACACAGCACGGCTGCAGTCTGGACAAGAGACCACTGAACATTATCTCTCCCCTACAGCGACTTTGAGTGGGCTTATTAGCACTTATCCAAAAAGTTTTTATTGTTAATGCTCATCAAGATCAATGCACCTCTATGTTTCAGTGTGAACACTAAGAAGGCAGATAAAACTCCTTTAAGGGTAGCTGAAGGAAAATTGGAGTATGTTCCATGCCATAACCTTTGGCCCCAATTCTGATTTTACATGAAAGTCAATTTTTTTTTTATAAACTAACAGTCTTGGAAAATTTCCACTTGCACCTCACATTCCACACATATAATTAGTGCCACTTTTGTGAAACCCAACTCTGGTTCCATCATCATGTGCTCTTCGACAGTGATCAATGCTAACACAATGCATGAGATGGGAGTGGTCATGACAGAATGGCACTATTGCATTTAGATAAGACAATCAAGTTATTTTTGTTTTTTGGCACAGTGCACGTGATGATTTTGGTGCTGCCCTGAACATGGTAGAGGTGTGGACGACCCTCCTCCTGCTTTTTCTTCTAGGCTCTTTTGTAATGCCAGGTCTCTTTTCCATATTCGCCTCAGAAACAGGGATGTCTGTGTGTCAGTCACTTTATTCACTCATCCTGGTACTTGCAGGTCAATACTGAAGAACAGGGCTGTCTCAGATGAGCAGAGATGTAGAGCAACAGGTTCCCTAAAATTGTCCAGTTGGTGCAGTTTTGTGTGACTGAGACAGACCTTGTTTGACCAGCTCACATTCAGGAGGTAAATGCCAGTAAATAGGTCCTGGAGCGTCATTTCTGATCACAGCTTTTCATGATCTTTCTTGAAGTCCTTTCCAATGTTGTTCCAACAGAATTAATTTAGGGGTGGTTTTCTCTCCTTGTCTGCCTCATCTCCCATCGCCTTTATCCTCTTACAGTCATGACATTTATTCATCAAAAGGGAACAAATGTGCTTCTGACTTGCTTCTGTAATGTGTGGATCATAATGAATATGAACATATAATTATATTCTCCTAAACCTGAACTCTTGGTCTCCATGTAGCTGTAGCTTGGTTCTAGTGTGCATAATAACAGTATGTATGGCAGCCATGTGCAGGGTTACACATAGTCAAATAGGGCTGGACAACATATCAATATTTATAATGCATTGTCTATTGTTGTATAATATCATGTGATGGACTTCTGCTAGACAATTTAATGTTGGATCTTGCATATCTAAAGAGATACTGTGATAAATATTGATACAGGAGGAAGGTCTGTTTATTATGCGTTTATTCGTTTTATTTTTCCTTCCCCAATATTGCCCAGCCCTGCACACACACACACACACACACACACTCACACATATGCTGTAAGTGGCCATGAGATTGACTCAAAAAAAGACTGTGTTATTATAACTATTCTTAGCAGCTGCCATGGTTCGTGATCCTGGTTGAAACCGGATTGTTGTGCTGCTTCTTTTACCAGCCCCATGCAGCAAACCGGACCAACCTCTGGCTTCAGAGTGGAAATGGTTAAATGAAATGACCTCCGCATATGATCACAGAACAAAGATGACTAAAATAAAAGATGTGCTGTGATGTAGGAGGATGTCAGCATCTCCTCTCCTTCGCTCAGTGGCCTGTATCCTTCACGGAGATACAGGGTGGCATCTTTTAGCGTTTACAGTGCTCTCATACGATAGAGTCTTTGATCTCCGAGCCCAGCCTCACTCTGGGCCGAGGGCAGGTTGGGGAGTATTCTACGTGGCTCTCCTTCAGGTTAAGCGGCCGCCTGTCGGAGGACTCGGAGAAGCTCTTGCTGTTGTCTGGCGAGGACTCGTGCGTGGGCGTGCTGCAGATGTAGTTATCATTTAACGTCTGGTAGCCCTTGTGATCTGAAGTGGAGACAGGGATGGTGTTACCGTTGAGGGGCAAGCTCTCAGCAGGCTTTCCCACTATCCTCGGCTTCTTCTGCTGCATGTTCGGACACTCGCCTTGCTTCAACATGGACTTCATATGGTCGCGGTTCCTGTAGATGACGAACAAGGAGAACACCACGAGGGAGAACGCCAGCAGGGCGCACACCACAATCAGTTCGTTCCAGTACGTTTTCGTGTGAACTTGCTCGGAGCGAGACTCGCCGGGCAGGATGATGGTCTCCTCTTGCTCAAAGTGTGGTGTCCGCGAGTGTCCGATCAGAGTGGTGCTCTCCTGGCGGGGCTCTGCCCTCACGCAGTAATTCGCCAACAACTGGCGGAAACCCTCCTCCTCTGACCAGCATTCGTAGGTCTCCATCCTGTCGACCTGAGCCACTACGACCAGGTTACCCTCGGGTGTGGCGTAGAGGAACTGACTGGCGCTGTCGCTGTAGCGCCACCTCCTCTGTGCCAGGTTGGACCGCAGCTTGCAGGGCAGGACCCTGAACGTGTTGGCTGGGATTGTAACGAGCTGGCAATGGGAACCACCTATTAAAAAAAAAAAGAAGAAGAAAATTGTAAGATCCCCTTACAAAAATATTATACTGTTACTGTAAAGGAATAGTTCAGCATTTTGGGAAATTTGCTTATTTGCTTTTTTGAACTGTTCCTCTAAAGATTTGGTCAATAACTATATCTCTGCATTTCGTAAATTAAATTATAATTCACATGAAATAATAACAATATGTAACATCATATGTGCCTGTTGTTGTGGTGTCGACGAGGTGTCAAACAACACTTTGATTAAAGACCATAGAGGACACAAAGAGGACACACTCACGAGAAGATGCTGGTCTGGCAGATCTGGCGCTGGGAAACGTCTTGTTACAAATCGCTGATGTGTCGGCCTCCTCCACATCCTGCTGCCAGTGGCTGAGCCAGAGCATACCAAACAAAACAACAGGGTGAGGATTAGCAGCTGTAATGAGAGGAAGCCTGTATGGATGCACTCATTTCACCCTCTCGAAGTCTGTTATTACGGGAATAGCTTCGTCAGTGTGACTAAGGGAACAATCTTCTTTTAAAAGCTATTTGTTCAAGCACATGACCATGAGCACTGCGTGTTTATGTGTTTGTTTGGGTTCATGTTCACAACAAAAACACAGTCTTTTCCTCATGAGTTCCTGAGGTAGCATATTTTCCTGTTTTTCATTGTATAGATACGACGTGTGTGCTTATATATTTCCCTTTACAATTCACATGTATGTATATATGGGTCAACTGTTAGTGGAAATGTAATTGATTTTTAGCCATGCTAGCAGCATGGCTCCATGATTGTCTGATTAGTCGGTCCACAACTTTGGTCCAGAATGAAATATCTTGACAGCTATTAGACGGTTTACCATTAGCATGATTCATCTCTTATTTGTTTCTATTTTGGAGTTATGAGTGAACGAGTATGGCCAAATAATTTTATGTTTTTATTTACTTGTCTAGTTGTTTTAAATGGCGCTTTGTATGGGAAAAAAGGAACATAAAAAAATCTAAACTATTAGGGAGCCTTAATGAACAAATAAAGCTGCATTGGCTGTGAGCTAATGTAGATAAACAAATTAAAAGTGGATGTTGACAAATAACGATTTCAAACTTTTCTATAGCTTCACAGTTTGTTTCAAACTCTGCCCCCGAGGTCACTTGTATGTGAGCTCGTACCTGTCAGGCGGCGCCATCCTAACGTCCCGACACAGCCGCCCGGTCCAGGCGCAGTAGGGGTCTCTGGACAACACACACTCTCCACAGCTCAGGTAGTTGGAGCAGTTGGCCACAGGAACCTCCACCAGCCCAGAGTAGGACGACACAAACAACAGACCCTGCGGATGATGAAACGCCATGTGTGAGTGTGCGCGATACAAATTTATCATCAAAAAAGGTGAGTGCAGGGCAGAACAGACCTTCTCCTTTTGGCTATGGATTTCTGATTTCAAAAAGGGAAACCATGCTAAAACAATTACTCATGATAAACAGAGCAATGTAACCTAAACAAAGGACTAACTCCGGCCAGCTGTGCTGAGTAATTTCATTGTGGTTAAAAACACATGGCGACATGTTCACAATTGTTGCTACAAAGCCTTGTGCTCAATTTATTTATTTTATTCTTGTATGTTTTTAACAGTTTTCTGACAGTACACATCGTCATATGTGTCACGTACATGAACTTTCACCATGAGTGTCACATTAATACTGACGCACAGTGCGAGTTCCCACAAGTGCAGTCTATATTTAGGCTCATCTTATCTTCCAGTATATTAGATAGACATCATGTGGATTCTGTCTTAGTCTTTCATATCCCTATTTGGAGCTAAGAATATACTCACAAAAAGTATCTTGGACTTTATTAGAATTACATAATCTTAGATAAGATTGCAGTTTGGCTGCTGTGGCCTGGGGGGGGGTGGCCATTATGTAATAAAGAGTGAAAAGGTAATGAAATTTAGCTCTGTGCAGAATGCCAGAGACGATCATAAACCCTGTTCCAGACGGTGCGATAACTTAGAGGGAAAACTCAGTGGAATGGCCCCTGTGGAAGGAAAATGTCTGTAGCCGGTTTGTGCTCCGGTAAATCTCGCTCTTCCACATTTTTATTGCGTGAAAATGAATTTGATTATGAACACAAACCAGTGCTGCCATAATCATTATAGATATGTATTCAATTGTAATAAATGTATTTGAAGTAGTTTTTGCGTGACACACAGTTAATGAAGAGATGATAGAATTGTGATTTACCCTCTGAGGGTCCAGTTCAATGTGTTGCACAGGCTGAGGCTCAGGAAACAGAACCAGCTCTTCTATGATGTGCATCTTATCGTTGGCATTGATGGCTTTATGGAGCTTTCCGTCATCTGGAAGACAAAGGAAATAAATATAAGTGACTTAAATTGAAGCCAGGGGAGGAAAGAAGCAGCTTCTGCTGTTTTTAAATCACAAATCAAACCCACAGTGTTTCGTATTTGCAAATAGTGGAAATATTATTTTTCCTCTTTAAAGATTTACCCCCAAAAATGATGGAATTATACATTAAGACAGAGATGTTGTGTAATGCTCTGTACCTGTTCCAATGAAGAGCACGTCGTAAGCCCTCTCCATGCCCTGGATCTTGTGCACGGCGATCTGTGTGTAGCGCACGCTGCGTTTCAGCAGCAGGGGAGCGCTGCGGATCACACTGTCCATCAGGAAATGGTCCTTGACAAAGTTGAGCACTTTATCAGGCATGTGTAAGGATGACTGGATACCCATTTGCCTGGCGTGGTTGGTCACGCACTGTATGGGAGTAAATTAGAAATGAAAAATGAATCTCTGCTTGTTGGAGAAGTCCTGGAAACACAAACATACAATGAGACACACACACACACACATATACATATATATATATATATATATATATATACACACACATATAAATATAAGTGTATGGCTAGCTTTACTTCTGAAGAACATGAAGTTTAGGATGAGTTATCATTACAAACAAAGACTTAATACACAAACTGCTGTGTTCCTATAGAAATTTTTAACTATCGTTTTTAAGTGAAAATCTACTGGTTTTTAAATCTTTAGGAATTTGTTTTGCTCCAGGAATGTACAAAGAGCATCTGCATCTGTCTTTAAGTTGGCAAAAAAACTAAAAGTAGAACATCTGCTTTCAATCAAGCTCACTTGTTGAACAGCCCAAAAAAATCAGTACACAGGTTCAACTGGATGATAACAAAATATACAATACATTGAGGATAGCATTAAAAATTGGTTATTATTTTTTATCTGTTATGTGATATTTAATTCTTCTGACTGAACAGAGACTAAAGCCACTTGAATGAACAGCTGCACAGACTGAACCAAAGCAGGTGAATTGAGCGGTTCGACACAGGATATTGCCTTCACCACTCACCGCTCCGGGCCGTGGTTCTGGCACAGGGTGGTTGTAGGTGTACCATTGCTGGGTCTCCCTGTTGACCTCTCGGTAGCGCCCGCTGAAGGCTCTCTCCACCTGAGCCATGGTGAAGGCACACACCGCTGAGCTGCCCGAGGCTCCCTTATACCTGTGAACAAAGGAAACGTTCATACTGTTTCAATTTGTGTGAAATGTGACGAGGTGCGAGGCTTTAGTCACACATTTTGATCCATGTTCTTACAGCATGTTACAGTTCTTCTTCTTTTTTTAACCAATCCATCCTTTCTGCATTTGTTGTTATTTTATGCAGTCAACTAGAGCAGCAAACTGTCACTGGAGAACATTTGAAGAGTGTGTACTTGAATGATTTCCATATTAAAATCTTTATTTTGCTGATACATTAATTAGACATTGGGGTTGCATGGGCTTGTGTTTGTGTTTAAGATCATTACAGCTGCTCTAAATTCAGAGGAGCCAAATAAGAAAAGGCAGCTTGCCAAGTTTGAGCACTGATATTAAATTAACAAGACTAGGTCAAAACCTAATATATGGCTGGACCGTGTATGGGCAATGTGCGAAATTAAGGACGTAGTTTCTTATTTCGTCTCTCACACAGCTCCTGGCCTCTGTCTGGGATCCACAATAGTTTTGAACTACTGTGTTTCCTCAACAGGCCTTTATCTGAGGCAGGCTTGTAATAGAGACATGTCTTTATTTCACGTTGCCTCTGTGTGACATGTATAATTGGTCATAGCTGTATTTTAGTACGAAGCCTGGTTTCCCCTTCTTAGAGTTAATGCGTTACATGTTAATGCAAACTCAACACTTCCTGTTACCATTTAAAATTTAAAGCCCTCTAGTGTATCAGTGGATAGAAACCCTTTATTTCTAAATATGGCTTTTATTATTGTGCTGCAGTAAGTGTATTGTCTCATTTCCGGTTGCTGGTGTTTCTGTTGTTTACATGCTATTCAGATCTGTTAGTTTCTTTAGCTTAGTAGTTACCGATGGTTTCTATTTCCCTCTCCTGCTCTCTCTTGCTCACTATGTCTCATGTTTAGTTATTTCTCTGCCTCCTTTAGTATCTATGATACATGTGACGGAGACTCAGTGCATTGGAAGTGCTGCTCCATTTCCTTGCAGTTTCCGAGCAGCCAGGAAACCAGATTGGCTGGGTGACTGCCTGTAACAAGAGGCGTAGCCTTAAGTCCACGGTTGGCTCCCATACATTAAGTCAAAAAGTCTCTAAATCTAGCTCAGCCACGTGGCATTCAGCTGACCAATGGTAGAAATATGATCACTCACTCACTCAGTCACCCACAGACATTTGCTATTATAGGGCTGGCCCCAGTGTTGTGATCCAGCCAAAAAGTGTCTCTAGATAGTGTGTGTGGGTGAGCTGTGAAGGTTCAAGTGTCTGTGTGTTTGTGCTTAAACATAAACTGTCGAAGTGCCATAAATCAGATTCATTAAAGTGCCTGCATGTCACAGTTGAGCTGAGAACAAGTCCCTCTGTTTGTCTCTTACCACTGCGAGGTGAAGACACCGTAAAACACAGTGCTCTCCCAGCTGTCTCCCATAGGCTTCAGGACAAACATGTCCTGGATGATGTTGAAGGGGAAACCATCATCAGGGAGGGAACACAGGAGCTGGGCCTTCAGGAATGTGGTCCATTTCTTCTGCAGCACCCGCTCACCTCCCTTATCACCCTGCAAACAGTTTGCAATGAAAGTTACAGGTGATTCCTTTATCGATCTTATTTTATTAAGACAAGTGTCTCTGTTCCTTTAAGGCTGATGTACAACGATGATCTGTTGATAGAAGTGGTAGGAGGGTGCAGAGCAGGCGAGGTCAGAGAGAGAGAGAGAGAGAGAGAGAGAGAGAGACAGAGAGAGAGAGAGAGAGAGAGACAGAGAGAGAGAGAGAGAGAGAGAGAGAGAGAGAGAGTCGGTCTCAGAGGCACAAGACACTGTGGTGAGGAGGATGAGCAACAGGAGAAATGGGACTTTTACTCCGCTAAAATGTGTTTTTCAGCTGGAGGGAGTGGAGGACACAATGGCCTCTGAGTCACCTCTGGACAACATATCAAGACTTACAGAAACAGGAGTGGAGCGGGCTCAGCCTCTCAGGGCCACACCCGGCCTAAGTAAGAGCCCTACTGGATTTCCAATTAAGCTGTCAGACAAGCCAGACTGGAAAACTAGGGGCAAGCTAACCAGCTAGCCACTGATTTTACACCTGGGCAACACATTAACTCTTCATGCATGATCCCCTTCATGCATGTTTTAAGACGTACACATGATAAGCCTGATATGGTTTTACCCACAATAAGTTTTACTAATTATTTAAAATTCTAAAAAGAAAACAAATAATGATAACTGAATGTCTGAATTTTTTTCTTTTCGAGGGTTTAACTGCTGGAAACAAGATGTTTCAGGTCAAACGTACAAGTTAATTAATAATAAGCAAAACACATGTTTGAGTTTAAATATGCTGCAATTTAGTAGCTGTTTGAAAGACCTACAGTTCTCTGAGCCCTCATCTTGCATCACAGCTGCAGTCCCTCCCCTTCTGCTTTAGAGGGTGGTGTTGAGGTCAAATAAGTGAATCTAAAAGTGGTTACTGGGACTGTCATGACCTCTTTTTTTGGGGAATAAAAAAGGGACAAATAATCAAGAACAACTGTAATTCCAACGTCCTGGTGGAATTCCAAGTGTTGAAATCCTTTCCTGTGGTGCAGCATATGTGTGGGGCATTTATACTGAATTACAAAGGATATTTTGACAATAAAATGCAGGGGGACAAAAAAGGCTCTCCACATAAAAGATGCCTTAGCACAAAATATTAGGTGCTCTTTGAAGGAGAGGAGATGGTGAAATGGAAAACAAACAGAAGAGGCATTTGCTCTTCTTTTAAGCTGTCACAAAATATTTACATAAACAGTTATCAGAGGACTTTGCTAGGACTAGCAATTATCAAAAAGCTTGTAAACACACACCAAAAGGAACTCCTCCCAAATACTGCTAGCAAGCTACAGCAGCAGCAGGAGGAGGAGGGGGAGGAAGAGGCGGAGGAGGAGGAGGAGGAGGAGATGGAGGTGGTGGAGGAGGAGGATGAAGACTGGGACCAAAACAAGTGGTCTCGCCCAATCTCAAGACAGTTTTCCTGCCTCAGATCCAAACTATCCCATCAGCCTCCAAAACCCTGAACTCCTACATAACAGCACAAAAGGAGTGAACCACCCTTGAGGAGATAATAAAATGCAAAACAAGAACTACCTCTGTTTCCTCCTCTGAGTGCTGTTACACACAAACAATCGTCCTGCTCAACACTGAGGTGAAACCTTATGGGACTGATGCGGGGCTTGGGAGCCAATTACCAGGCTGTGCTAGTAGCCTGTCCACATAATGAGGAGACCACATTCCTGCTCTCTCAGCTGCCCACCGCCGTTGTTGCTGTGCTTCGCTGCACAGCTTGTACTTTCAAATCGCATGGACCACTCCCCCTGATAGCTGCCCTCCAGAAAAATACGCTGTGTTGCATCGCTCTCTTAATATTTTGTCTTTTCAGATTCAGATTCTTCACATTTGTCAACCTGACAAGTAGCTGAACAAGAGGTAAAAAGAAAATGGTGCCACTCAGTGCTCATAATCTGCCTGCTTTCCACAGTCCCTCAGTGTGCACACCTGAATAAACAAAAGAAAGAGGGAGTGGAACGAGGGAGGGGGGCAGATAGGAAAGAGGGAAGAAAAACAACTCGGAAGCAGAATTACTTGGCAAACACAAGTAAAACAGTAGTTAGAAAATCATGAAAAAACTGAAGAGACTTTCACTTATCTTATCTTACAAGAAACAAGCACTCTCTATAAAGGTAGCGAAATGTCTGCCAAGATGAACCAACACACCAAAAATGTTTCAAATATCAAAATAAAACCGCATTTAAACATACTTGGAACACAGATGGAGAAGGGAGTGCACGCTTTCCGTCACAAGTGTGTTATAGATACTGAGCCCGCTGACAGGAAGGGGCCTTCATACCTTCGTGTTACCAAACTCTAATCTGAGTTAGCACTTTCCTCTCACTGACCGAGGACACAAGGCGTGCGTTCAAATGTGATATTCTGAGAAATAAAAAGGTTGCACATGGTAATAGTTTACAATGTTAGCCTGTGGCAAGCCAGGGGGCTGGTTTAAGGAAGATATTTGAGACTGGTCTGCAGTGTTAGGCCAGTGACGTGAGGCACTGTGAAGTGAATGGGACAGGTGCATGTTGGTGTCCTGAAAACAACAGGAAGTTATAGTTACTGAAGTTTGGATCTATAGTCTAAAGTTTGGACTGCTTGATAAGGCCTGCTCACCAACGCGCTCAGCAGTGGCTCTGACACACAGCTTAAAACCCTGGAATGTATATCAAAAGCATACTTCCTCTGAAGTCATATCTCAAAAACGCTCCTCATAATGTCAGAACTTGCCCGAGAATCAACAAATTTTTTAAGTTTCCTTCAGTATCGAAGTAATCCAGTGATAGTTGTCTGAATGTCAATTGGTACCTTGCAAACAGGAACTGCTAACAGCTAATTCAGCGTACTTGTAATACTGACAATTTGCCAAACAAACATAAACTTTAAAGAGTTTCTCAATCTTGTCTAACAACAGTGTCAAGACTCCAGAAGACTCTGGTATGATTAGAGTTCCATAAAAATACTTGTTTTTAGCCATCCTACCCCGAGACAAACTCAACTAACAGACGTTTCCATGGTAACAATCAATGACACACGCTTTTTTGTATTTTATTATTTATTAATTATTTTTAATATATTTTGTACAATCGTCACAGTAAAATGTTCTTGTAAATGTGGAGTTTTTGCAGAAGGCAAACATTTCTGCTGGAGAGCTGTGCAGCTTGATGCGTTTGCTTGTTTAGACTTGTTTTTTTAATTTGAAAAAATGAGTCCCACGTCTCTCTACGGTTGGACTATTAGTAGATCCAAGACTTAGTCTTTATGAAACCAGCCCCAGATCTTTATGTCATCATTTGCTCACTCATAAACTGATGGGGGGAGGACGAGGGATTTTGTGGAACAGACAATAATTAGAGAAAATATTAGGATCCTTTTTTCTTTTACTTGAAATTGGGCAGTAGGTGGAATTCCTACACATCATCTTAATAAGCAGTAATCTTAACCATTTAAGCAGTAAACTGGAGAATAACTACTGTACTGCCACAGAACGGCAACTGAAAAGATGAAAAAGAGGGCTGCTGCATTCCAGTGAAATAAAGGCGCTTTACAGAGCAACGAAAGCCATTCTTCTGTCTCTGTTGCACAGTTCATCTGCAGCAAGTTGCCACAGTCTGGGGGCCTTTCTGTCAATGATTGCCATATATAGAACCCAGGAAGTACTCCGCCGGCTGTGAGAGGTGTCACAGCACCGAGAGCCAGAGCCTAGCAGGACTAAGTCATTAAGCTGTCACTTAAGATTACATGCTGTCCCCACGATTACTCACATTACTGCCTCCATGAACAAGAGGCATAAGTCAGCGAGGGATGCTGAGTGCATGTATATCAGGCAGCTTCACAGCCGTTTAATTGATCTGATGACAGGTGGAAAAGGATAAAGTCTGCGGCTGATTATTCAGGGTGATCAACCAAACTAAACTCTAGAGGGGTGGGGGTGGGGTGGGGGGGGGGGGGTGGCAGGGTGTCAACAGTTTAAATGATTCGAGGCACATTCTGCAGTTGATACGGTTTGCATGCTTTGCCTGCAACAAAAACCCGCCATGTAGAGGAACGCATTTCATATTGCTGCGAAGCACCCTTGAATACTAATAATGCCTGCAAAGCTCAAAGCGCTGGTAGAGAAAGGCAAAGAGCTGGAGGGATGGACGAGTGCAGCAGACATTGTGAGGGAGAGGGGGAGATGACATTGCAGAGGAAAGGGAGGGAGGATGATTCAGGCAAGGAGAAACCAAATCTCTTGAAAACATGTTTGTACAGTCAAACAGAAAAGGCTTTAATGTACTAGAGACACATTCCCATTGCATCCACACAGGCATGACGTGCAGGTAAATGTTACGAGACGTGCTTTGACATGGGAGTGTCCCGTCTTGTTTTGGGGTAATTGTATCAGGATTAAGGAGAGGAAGCTTGAGCCCTGCTGTGCCTCTTACTTTTGCATGGCAAAATGACCTCACCCCAATCCCAGGTGACTTACCTTACACACGCGAGCAATCCTCGACACAATGGTGTTGTCAAAGAAGTCAAATTCCTTTCCTGCCTCGCTGAAGAAGAAGTAAATCTTGTCGTCGTCACCCACGGGGTTGCCGATTGGCTGGCTCTCCTCGATGTAAGCTGACCCGACAAAGACTGGATCTGTCAAAAATAGAAAAACATAAAAGGAAACATGTTCCACCTTTATTATCAATGCGAGGGAACTATTTCTTTCAACAGCTTTACTGCTTTTGTTCAATGTATCATTGAGCAGAATTTGGAAAGAATTTGTCAGAGTCTACACAGGAGAGCTGTGTCATGCGATCCTGGAAGAGTAGAGGAAACAGCATCCTCTGTATAATTGTACTCAGATGTCTCATCAGGAGCACTCTGCATGAATTACCTAGAGATCAAAAGACAAGAGAGGTCTTAATTGTGCGCAAAGTGCGGCTTACTCCGGCGAAACCAGTGGCAGCCGGCTGAGGCTGTTTTGATGTGCATGTGCGGCGACTGATAGGACCGAGCTCACGCAATCTAAGAGCGCTTGTCTCTGCTCTCGGCCTGCATGCATTAGCGACTGTGTCTTGCTAATGATCGCTATTTTTTGGAGCTTATCTGCTCTGTTGGGTACATAATGGAAGATGTGTAGAAGGGAAAAAAAAAAAACACAGTCTGCCATCTGATGGGGTAAATGGGGTTTACCTTGGAGCCATTTTAAAGAGTTTTCTGTCTTCAGTGCAGTTCCCTGACCCAAACTCTTGTAAATGACTGGTTCATTCCCTTGGAAGTTGCTGACAGTACCAGTGTACAATTCACCATCTGGAAGAAAACAAAGGGAAAGACAAAGATAGCAGGATTTGAATCGATGAACTTGATGTGTCATTAATTAAACATTATAATTTACAAAGAAATCGTGTCTTTTTAACTGTTAGAGATGAAGTCAGTAATAGCTCAGAGTGAGCCGTTAGCACCGTAAAAGAACAGTGCGAGAGAGGGGTTATACAAATCATTTCCTTCACTCATATTCAGCTCAATTATTTACTAATTGCTTGTTAAAGAAGTTGAAAACAAACAGTGTCTGTTGGTGTCCAGCTACTTATCAGACAGTCTGATGTGGACAAACAACATTAGCAGGCACATCATGACTCATTACTGAATCAAAGATGAAGGAAGCATCAAAGAAGTTCAGAAACAGCTGAGCCGGTTTTCAGCATCTCTCCCCAGAAGGAAGCTAGTCATAATAATACCTTCTTTTTTTTTCTTTTTTTCTTTTTTCTTTTAAAGTGACAAAAGGAAAACAAAAGCTGTATTTGATTACATACCAACAATGATGGCGGTGGATTTGTACTCCGGATTAAAGGGGCAGCGACTGCGCCCATCTTCCATCACAACCTCGCCCACGTCATCTCTCTCTAGTGTGAATGTTGACGTGTTCTGGAGACACAAGCAGCAAATATCCCTCAGACACAGTCCAATGAAATCAGTGACTTCGAGTTCATACTCTCCATTATAATGCACGGAGTGCACTGACATTTTGAGAGGTTGGTGATTTTACACATACAGTAACTCTGTCTGATGAATAAACCATAGTATACAGTCTCTATAGGCAACCATGTTATTTCTATAGTGAGAAGATGAAAACTTATAGCAAATCATATGAAAAGACCAAAACCAACAACGAACTGATCAACTAAAAAAAGCAGCCAAAGCCTCATATTTTATTCCTCTGTGCCATATCGCTCCATTGTTTTGCACATCAGTGAGCCACATCATTTCACTGGCTGATGAATTCCTTCATTACCTTCAATAGTTTCTTGTAAGTCAGTCATACACTATCCTGTTTTAATAAATGTCAGCTAATGTGTATTAATCCCTTGCTAAAAAAAGTAACATTTACTCAAAACTACACACTGTTGGTTTTCGTCTTTCCATGGCATTTGTTCACAATAAATAAAACTAAAGGACAACCTTATCCTTAGGGGACCATAGGGTCTCTTTACTGGCAGACTTTATGGTTTATGCAGGTAAAAATGAGTGTTTCGTAACAGGACTTCACTAATAATAAAAACTACACTTTGGTGTCAATTAACAGACCATAGAACATACTTTAGGTAATTCTGGGTACGTATGGCTTGTCGATGTATTGTTTGCTAAAGCGTATACACGCCAGGTCAAACTACAGTAAGTATGTAGGTCAGTACTGAGTCTATGAAAACAGTTATTTATAATGTCTCTCTGGCTCTGGAGGCATTTGTCAAATCTGAGAAAATACCTCAAAGTAAAATCACTTGCATAATCTCGGGGTTGGGCATTTTAAGTCTGCTTTACAAAGACTGGGCAGGGAGTTGGAAAGATGTTCGGCATCTACCAGGCAGGAAGGGAGGGAACAAAAGACAATCTTGTGTCGCATTATGGCAAGTGTGGGTGACACCTTTGTACTGTTTGTTTTTGTTTGACATAGAGTGAAAAAAATCCAAAGAAATTCAATTTACTAACATATAAAAACAGAGAGGCGCAACATATTCTCACGTCTGAGAATGTGGCACCTGCAAATGTCCAGCAATTTTGCTTGATACTTGACTTGATTTATTGATGATCACTTCATTAACAAAATATTAATTTCTTTTGTTTGACTAATCAACCAATGGTTTCAATTTGAAGTTAAGGACCCAATATTATGGCAGCTTGATGCATATTAGTGACATACAGTGTTTCCTTGCTGAACTGCAATTTTGGCACTAAAAAGAACATATTTGTATAACTCTGAAAAACTTCATATCAGCTTCAGCTTTTGATATTTTTGTATTTTTCCCACCACTTACATTAAAATAGCTTGTAAAGGGATCTCTTTGCAGTCAGTATGAACAGGGAGAACAGCTACAATGACTAAAAAAAGCTGTAAGTATGTAATGTATGTATGTATATATGGGAATATGAGTATTGTATAAAGACGGACATGACAAAATATATGTGGGCAATTTGCAGTAATAGTAATTCTTCCTTGTTTCAATTACTAATAATGAAATCAAACAGGAGAGTATAAAGTCCATCGCCTGGGAAACCTTCCCATGATTCATCTTGATAAGATGTTGTTTTAGTCGGAGCTTATTTTAATTTATGTCTGTCATTTTGATTGTTTAGTGTATCCTTTTGGCATAAAACCCAGTGCCACTGTTTTGAAAAAGCTTTAAAAATAAATAATGTTAATATTATGCATGACACACACACACACACACACACACACACACACACACACACACACACACACACACACACAGAGGTCTGGACTCTATCAACATGATGAGTGTTCATCCAGACCAACCGAGCTCAGATTTGCTTGGAATCCCAGTTCAGGGCCTAAAGTCCTGCCAAGTCATCTTCAGTCTGAGACGTCCCGTGTTTTTCTTTCCCTCTGACGTCAAAGAGGAGAGTTTAATGCCCCCCTTTAAGAGCTGAGCTGTCGCCGAGCTCGATTGCCCCCCTATCACTGAAATCAATGTCATCCTGCTGCCGGTTACCATCGCTCCAGATGTACTCCTCTGCTAGATAAACAGATCCACTGCTTCCCTCTCACTGGAAACCACACAGCTCATGTACCCCCTGTTGACTTGTCTGGCTAAAGTGCCTCAGCAGGATTTGGTTACGCTTGGATAACAACAGATCCAATACTGACATGGTGGATAAAAGAGCCTGATTCCTAAAGAACACCTAAAAATATATCAAAATTCAAAACTGTCCTGGTGAGAGGAGGGGAGAGACATATATAAAACCTATATGTATTAAAAAAAAATTCAAGGCTTCTTTTTTAAATGGCAGGAGTAAAATCAACTCTAAGAAGTGAACAAAAGGCAGAGTGAGAGGTCATTACTTACGATGTAGGCGCAGATAGGACTGAAAGCATAGGTGCCACACACATAGAGATGAGTGCTATTCAGCCGCAGAAGAATTTTGATGTAATTGAAGCAATCAGTCTGGATGGGGAAGAAACGGGGAGAGAGAGAGAGAGAGAGAGAGAGAGAGAGAGAGAGATCTATGAATCCATAAGAATTTCTCACAAGTGAATGTGTTTTTCTTTCTTAAGAGCTCCTTAAAATCTTTTAATGAAAAACTCCAGTCATAAGTAAATCTTTTTACTTCAGAAAGTATTGGACAGAAAAAAAGAGAAATATTCCCACTCTCTCAAACTGTTGGGAAAACCTCCCAGCATCACACAGCAGTTGCCTGGTGAGCTTTCTGTAATACACAGACCAGAGTTGTACACTGCAGAACACAGATTACCGAGGCTTGTCGCCCAGGGATACAACAGCTGGCATGACAACAAGGTAACAGACAGACAGAGAAAGAAGCAGTGCACAAAAAAAGAGCAATTCCCCGGCGAGCCTGCACACTTGATGAATCTATTTGTAACTGGTGGAGAGGTTTGTCAACATAAAACTCTATGCTCATTCTCTCCTCTCACAGTCAGTCAGAGAAGACTACAAGGAAAGGACCCTGGACAAGAAAATCCATGCTTTCGATATCATCATTACAGAACTATTTTTCCTGGGTATTTTCATTATTTTGGTATGTTAGCGGAGCAGTAAAAGATGCCACTCACCTCTAGGTTCTTCCCTTTGAAGCTGCACTCCTCTCTCTTTCCAGCAGGAGTGCCCCACGTCAGCTGAAGATGAAAAAGAAACCCTGAATAAGTCATGTGAAACTCAGGGAACCGTGCTGATTCTACTGCCCTTCAAGAAGACCATTTCTTTAAGATCAAAATGTACACAAAAAAACAGGTGTGAATTATGTGGAGCAAAACAAAAATAACAGCTTATTTTGATGCACAAACAAAATAAGAAAACAAGTAAGCCATTTTTGTATTTTACATTTAACAAGAATTATACTCAAAACCGAAACACATTGTCAGTTCAAAGTGTGTTCAAGTGCTTAAACTAGTCTCAAAATGCCAGTTGCAACCATGTTTGTAGTGAGAGTACATTATCCAGTCCAGTCCTGCACATTTCTAAGCAAACGCTCATTGCAATTTGGACTCTTTCGACATGCTCACGTTCTTCTGCAGCTTGGTCTTGCTGATGTCCGAGAGGCTGAGGGCAAATAGTGCCTCCCTGGCTCCGACGTACAGCATGTCGTCCTCCTGGCTCAGCAGCAAAGAGGTGTAATTAAAGACGCCGTCCACTGAGAATCTCTTGGCCGACCTCTCCTTTGCATCTGGAAAACAGCAGGAAAATAAACACAGAGAGAAGATTATCATCACGTAGCAGGACAGAACAGAAAGGAGCAGACTGGTACAGAACATTTCCTGACGCTCAACGTACAAGAACACACATTAAAATGTGCTCACAAGCACATAAAAAGCTCCCAAATTACGACACTCAAAATACTGTTAAATTGTGTGTAGAGCTTTTGCCTTTCTCACGGAGGAAAAGTATTAATGATTTCCTTTCACAGTACAAGGGTTTTAAATGTGTGCCAAAGGTGTAAGAGATCCAAAAACATTAACGTTTCACCTCATTCTCAGGATATAAAATATTTACTGTTAGAAGAGACAGAATACTTAACAAGGGATTAAACACCAACATCGCATGTTAGAAAACCATATGAGTTGTTTTTCATATTTAACAAGAAACTAACTTCATGCTAAAAATGCTAATGCTACACACTGAAAGCTAACGTAATTTAGTCACACACTTAATCTCCTTTTCCATCTTGCTCAGATGGGAAATCCATTTCACAGTGTTTCTGCTACATTGATATCGTTCATCTCAACCAGGAAATAAGCATTCATGCTAAAAAATGCTACCACTAAAAAGAAACTTAATCTAGTTAGTGGCATGACTTGGTTTCTCAGTTTTCTCAAATGCAGAAGCCTGAAAAAAAAAAAAAAGGCACAGTGGTTGTGCAAATGAGAGGAGACATCTACCGAGAAGTGTTTTGTTGGCCAAAGCACAGAATGGATTGAAACTGACATTAGCTTATGTGGCCTTCTGTGGATCTGATTTGTTGGGCTAATCAGCCAATCAGGAGAGTTAACACGATGTCAGGAGTGATGTAAAGGATGTGGGATTAAGACAAGTCAGATGTGTACATCTGTGTATGTATGCTGGAGTCGGGGGTTCGTCTGCATTCACACAGAGGGAAGAACAGAAACTGTTATTCTGACTTTGTGTTTGCGCTTTATTCCAAGATGCTTAGATCCACTGTTAGCCTCGCACTCACATCATTTAAATTGCCTCAATTAGCTGCTTTTTCTGGACAGATTTGTTAACGAGTGAAATCAGACACAAGCGAACAGTGTATGTAACCTTTTCAATTAGCTGAATCAGTCGTATTAGTGCTAGCATTGGATTTTACGTAGGTGTAACCAACAAGTTTAACCCAATTTTTCTTTTAAAAACTGCAAATGCGAGTTAGTTCACTGAAATAAACAGCTGGTGGTGTATTGCCTTTACATCACTGTAGCTCCCGCTTTGCTATTCCCAGTTCTCCAAGAAGATCTGGAAAACACAGCGCGCCACAAATCAAGCACGAAACAAGAACAAGTGGACAGACATGACATTACGTCCAACTACATCACAACACATACAGCTGAGCTTCAGTCACATCGATTTATGATACAAAGTGGAAAACTCTCATTGAGCATGCTGTCATTTCTGAATCCTGGAGGCGACTGTCCTCCCCGTTTATCCCACAGTGGCAGCCAGCAGCTACTGTAGGCTCCATGAGAACATGTCATACGTATGCCAATGAGCCACGTCCACACTTTCCTGTGCTGGCCAGCTTTGTCTTTGCTCTGCTCAGCACTGGCAGCAGGGTAAAAGCCTCTTCTATTCAACACCAATCTAAATCTCCTTTAGTCTGCTGCTCGCCAGCCCTCTTCAAATGGATCTCTTTAGCAGTGGGCCATAAGTCAAATGAGTTACTTTTTCCCACATCGCTCCATTCCCTGCAGCCTCAAATAGTTCCTCTGATGAAGTACAGATTCAATGTACACATTGCTCTTTTTATAGCATTTCCCCTCTGCATCGCAAACAACTCGGGGTCCTGTACAGTGGCATCAGCAGCAGTTTTTTGCGTCTCTGATCTCTGAAGTTTTGAAGAGGTCTGAATTGATTTTTGGAGCCAGTTTTTGTAAGCAGCATGAGGTCTGACAGCTGGTCACTTTTTAGGTTTGACTTACTACCCGATAAACTGCTTAGAAAAACCAAATATAAAAGCCAATACAAGGTCCAAGAAGTACTAGAAAATGGATGTTATCGCTTGATATCTAAACAAGACTAAGAATCTCCTAGACTCCAAAGACACAGGACATATGCAATGAAATATTTGTGAATCCACTGCTTACGTACTTCATACTTTGCAGTTTTTGGCCATCTTTGTAAATGTTTATCTATTGCCTCCCATTCCAAACATATTAAACACACTTGATGTGCTACCCAAGCCAAAACGTTGGGGGTCATGGACTCCATTTGCTTGTCCAAATAAGATTACAGGCTCGTATCTGGGGTCGTAAACACTAATATTTGCTGCAGTTAAACCATTTACAGCCCCCCCCCCCATGTACAACCAGCAAAGTGAACGTATACACTTCTGATAGTAAGAAAAAGACACCAGCAGTACGTTTATATCCAACACTCCAGGTGGTGCATTGGGCTATAATGCAAATGGAGCCAGTAAACTGCAATAAATGTTTACAACCCACTACTTAAACTTTTCAATATGCTTGCAAACAAATGGTTCATCCAACACTCAAGGCACTTTGGCAGATGATTGTCTTCCCCTTATGGGAGTGAAAGCCAGCTGCACAAGCTACATCTTGTCCAAAATCAAATCTTAAGCCCTTTCCAGATCAACAGCCCTCATTCTGTTCAAAACGTTGTGACATCTGGAGTCAATGAAGAGAGGGGCCTGTCATTAAAATCAGGGGAGGGAATACGAAATAGAAAAAGACTTCCTATTGTCATCCTTAGGTTCGCTCAGGACAGGAAGAAATACAAGTTTTCCGACGTGGAGGAGAGCTGGTTTTATTTCAAGGTATATTAAGTCTGTTAAAAATGTCCTAAATGCTCTTAAAGAGAGCTATACTCAGTCCCAGTGGACCCTGCAGTTGGCAGACAAAGGAGTGCCATCTCACCGCTCAACAGGGGGACATATCATAGCTTGACTGTCACGGCTCCCCTGGGTTTTGGCTATTCACTGGAACCAAAAACAGCCTTCCCTCAGCATATTAAAACTCTCTGACATAAATCACAGTGACATCCTGTTAGACAGACAATGGAGTAACGAGCAGAGGAGAGCAAACTCATGAAACTTTTACTCGGAGAGCAGTCCAGGGCTACTTAGCAGGAGGGTGGAGTGGGTGAGTTGGGGGTGGGGGTGGGGGTGGGGGGGGGGTGAGGTCGAGTACGGAGTGGGAGTTGTGGTAACCAGGAAGATTGGATTGAGATGTTGACCTATGAAGAAACATGCAGACAGGGGGAAAAAAATATTATTTTCAAAGCACTCTGAGATGGATTTTTGATAAGAGCAGAAGGTCAAGCAGTAACAAACGTCAGCGCTGTGTCAAGCTGCAGAGATTTCAAGAAGACACTCGAGGTTTTCTCGCTCTTTTTTCATCTAGAGAGGCTGGAACTTCAGAGATGATTTTTTTTTTTTTTTTTTTTGGCACTATCTCTAGATGCAGCAGGTCACTTGTGCGTTTTGACATCCTTGCAGCAGAATGCCGAGCATCCGGCAAGAGCGGCAGCAACTGCAGGCCATTTCACAGCCAGGTGCCAAGTCCATTCATCACCCTGCTGTTTAATCAGCTGGCTGTCACCAAGCCGAGCCCTCAACCTCTGCTAATGCTCATCAAATCACACCTACCGTCAATATGGCCGCTTTATTGTCGGCGCTAACGTGCTGAATTAGTTAGTACTACAGGTTTGTTGAATTTCAGCCTGAGATTTGAACTGAGTACATTTGCTTCAATTCTCCATGGTTACAAAAGTCTGCAAGCTGCAAAGGAAACTGGCCATTGGTCCAAATCTTGGTCAAGTGCCATAGTTCAAAAGATGCATCATTTGAAGACAGTTTTCAACTGGAAGAACACGGTGGGCATGTAATGTAACAACATTCAAACACTGAACATCTTTTCTCCTCCGTCAGATGATAACCTCTCAGCTATTAATTTGAATTTCAGCAGGATTGTATTCATTGTATTCATTCACTGTTTTTGGTTTTTTTTTGTAAATCAGTGGCGGTAAAGATGGCAGAAGCAAAACTCATATCATAGGATTTGAGAGAGCAGCTGCTCTGTGATCACAGAAATGTTTGCTTTTTTAGTGAGAGAGTCAGACTGATTCTGTGCACACTCGAACAGCTACAAACATCTTGAACTAAAACTGAAACACACGAGGGGAAGTCTTTCATCTGTACCTGCAGGTGGTGTAAAATCTCCACCTCTGCATGTATTAATTTCAATGATGGTTGGAATCACCTTCCATTTGCACATCATATAACATTTTCTGAAAAGTAGATGCCAGTGCCGATGTAAGCTGCTGTACTGAGTTGAATATTGGACTTTGCACCTCTAATATAGGTGGTTTTCTTCTGCTAGGCACAGTGCAACAGGAAGACAACAAATAGTGTAGCACATACAACCGCTGCCAACCTGTTGGTGACCTACAATTTGATACTGTGCCTGAACGCATCCTGTGTAGACAGTGACGGAGGACTCACGCTGCTGCTGCTCTGCTAACGTAACCTCGGGCAAGAAAGTAAATAAATGCATTTCCGAAAATGTTGAACTGCTATTGAGACAAAAATAAGAATGGCTGTAATGCAGCAGACACATTAATATGATTCTTTTCATGTAAAAAAAAACAAAAAAAAACATTTTGTATAAACAAAGAGCTGGAAGATCAGGCGTCCAAATTTGCAAAGTGACAACAATTAAGATTTACTTACTCTGAATCTCCTCATTCAAATCAGAGCTGCGTGTGTTTAGTTTGTGCTTGTTCACCACTGAAGTAACCAAGATATCAGAGGGTGCCAGCTTGCAGACATACTGTCACTGAGAAATAAAATACACACCAGCACTTTGGCATGCATCATATTTCAGAGAAAATGGAGCAGGATCAAGCTTTTTTTTTTTTCTCTCTAAGGTTTAATAGTACTCCACCGGTGGGGCGATTGATTGGCTGCTTGGTAGGTGTACGCCTGCCAAGACA